TTTTAAAAATTTTAAATGAAGTTTGAAACATGTGAGTTTTGACGCCAAGAAGGTAAAAAATCAGATTTCCAAGTTTTTTTGGGTCGATCATCTGGTGCAAAGGGCAAAACGCTTCCCATAATGTACAACATTTATTTATTTATTTAAAATTAAAATATATTGTTATTCTATTAAACAAAATAACATACAAACAACGTTCAGAGACAACCGCAGTAAAATATTATTGTTCTGTTGCCTAAATAACATTTAGGGAGGGGTGGACCTAAGGGGAATTAGCACCCCCAATTTTAAAACAAGCGCCCTCTAATATTTTTCCTATTTATGTACTAACAAATATGCTTAAAAAAATGTTTAATATAAAAAAAAAATTAAAAGGCTTTTGCACAGTTGAGAACAGTGTTTATTATTCAGTATTAATCATCAATATCACGTGTCTATCACTTCCCATTAGTTATGCATCTTGTGAACGTTCGTTTTCTGCTTTAAGAAAAATAAAGATTTGGCTTAGGGTTTCAATGAGACGGGACAGACACACAGATTTGCCAATATTATAAATCGAAAAAGATATGACAAATTTAATTAACATAAACAAAGTTATTGACACGTTTGCAGAACAAGCAAAGCTTGCAATAACTATTGTATAAAATACCTGTACAATGTAACGTTGCATATATTTTTATTATAAAATTAAAACGCTAATAAACTAAAGTGTTAAATGTTAAGTTAATATACAACGTCCTTGTTGAAAAAAAAACATTAACCTCATTAACTAAAATTCCTTAGCTTAAGCAACCTCCATTTTTTTATTCTCATTGCGCCTATGCTAAATAAACAAATTACAATCATTTTTTTCTTCTTCACAAATTTCTGATAAAACAATATTTTTAAGATTTTTGGACACCCGTGCAGCCAAACTAAGTGAAAACGGTAGTAAACGTTACTACCTGACTCTTAATTCTCATAATAGCGATACAATAATATTGTAATAATAGACCGGAAGTGTCCGAGGAAGTACCTGAAATGTATGTGTGTGTGGAACGATTGAATAACGTTTAAAATTATAAGGTTTTAGCTTCGATGCAGAGCTGAGAAGGTATTGTTTTTTTACAATGATGTGTTTTTATTTTTGTGTCTGGACCCACGATATCTCGTAAGCCGCTGAACCGATTTCTTTGTGTAGCAACACTCTATAGATCAGAAATCATACCTGAAAGGTACTTTATCAGGCCAAAAATTAAAAAAAGTCACCCCTTCCCCATCAAAATCGAGAAAAACACCTAAAAAATGTACAAATTGTTCAACTTAAAATAACGATGCTCTATAACTTTTTTAAAAATAGTCGAAAATGTTCCAAATTTATATGAATTGTTCTTCAAACATAGAACACTATCGATAAACATTAACAAACCAAAAAAATATCATAAACCTTTTCACTTAGAAGAGATAGAATTGTTTCCTTTATTTCACTTTTTCCAGCAAAGTTTTAGAGATTTTGATCTGAAAAGTAGACCAAAAATAGAATGTAAAATGGAACTATAACATATACAATTTTTTTCAAAAATCTGTAGTAAATTTTTTTTTTTTATTAAGGAAAAACCCCAAAAATAGGGTAAATTTACACTTTGGCCGTGGTCAGTTTCTAGGTTGCTATGTGTGTGTGTGTGAATCGACAGTCGACAGGTAATGAAAATATTTTCATTATATTGTCAATTACGTTATATATGGGTAACTATGACAGTACATTTTCATAGACAGACGATCGACCCTTATCGTAGCCACCCTGCACAAGACTAAATATTAAATTTTAATCACATTATTGCTGGCCCAACGATATCTTCTAAACCGCTATAACTGGTTTGAACATACTAGCCACAGATTCGCATCGAAGAGTTTATTTAAAAGTGATAAAATCTGTTGACCTGTGACCTCTCCGTCACCACTATGCCCCGACCCCACTGTACTGGCTTTTTTTTTTTTTTGCAAACACTGTGTTGTAGATATTTACACCCGCAATTGTCCGGATCATAACAATATAGTATATATATATATATATCATTTTCTGGAACTTTTGAGTAATATCCCGGCGGATTATAGTAAAACATATATATATATATATATATATTATTTACCCTTACGGACAGTCGTCGTTCTGGCACGTTCTGTATTCGTGTGTGTCAGCACATTTCTCGATCATAAATCAATGTGATCGTTTTATGTGTAAACCGTCTCTTCGCGCCAGACGACCGGCAAAACCGTTGAGCTGCACAAACACCGTGTCCTTTGCCGCTTAGCAAAAAAGCCTTCAGAAATTTCTGTGAAAAAATTACAATAATGCACAATTTTTTTCAACCCAACTTTATTGTCACGATACGATTTTCGTTTTAAAAATTAAATTACTCGTTTCAACTGCCGTTGAAATTAAATTATAACAACAGTAATTTTTAGCGGTTGGTCGTGGAAATTGTACGTGTTGTGTCTTTAACACTTTTTAGTTGCCAGGCTATAGAATTGAGTAATTCAGTTATTGTATGAATGGCGCTTAAAATGTGTTAAAGATACAATGCCAAGTTAATTAGTGTATGACATTTTAGTTTATGACCGTCTGTATGGAGTTTTCAGATGTATTCAACAATTATTACCAAGTCCTTAACTGATTTGGAAGCCGCAAAATGGCAAAACACTGTATTGTACAACAGAGTAGATTAGAACAATATTTACAAGCTAATTACTAGGAAATCAGCAGTTGTCATCACTGCGTCTATCGACATGGATAAGATGAGATATATTATGTTTGTTGTCCATAATAGTCATAATTAGGGCAGAGCACTTCTAGCATTTGCATATTTGTACAAAAAAGCCAACCATAAAGGAATTTCTTTTAGGTTATGACAAAGCCAAATCTGTAATTTCTGTGTTGCATATTTAGGTCTGTTTTGCTTTTTGAGACATTTATAAGTTATATAATTGCTTTTTAAGGGAATTTTTTTTTGAACATTTGCTTTAAAAACGATTTATCAAAAGTCAAAACAATAATCAGTAAAAAATTTCTAAAATATTGGAATTTTTTTTTAGGGTCAGAAGAATAAATATATCAAATTATTAAATAAAAAAATCAGCTATTCAATATACCTATCTTTAATAAATTATACATTATTTACAGTATAATTAAGTCAATAAATAGTAAGAGTTTCATTAAGCCAAAGTTTTTATTCATTTATTGGTCGTGGACTATGTAGTGTAGCATATAAATATAGTTTAATTTAGTCAGTCATTGTTTTTTTCTTATTTTAAATGTTTTAATTAAAGTAATTAATTTGTTTAATTAAATCGCTGAAAAATTTGTTTTAAAGCATATAAATTTAGTGCATATTTTAGGGTTTTCAAGTGCATAAGTGCTTGCATATTTAATGTTTTTTTTTTTAGAGCTACAAGTCCTCTGCTCTAATCATAATAACACCAGCTAATACTTTAACCTAACCAAAAGCGTTGGTTGTCGTGCATTCAATACGGGGCCGTTGCTAAATTGCCTATACGACGCGCCGTATCATCAGATTAATAATAATTTTTGTGCTTCGTCGCGATACAAACAAGACTTTTAATTAGTAAGTAAGTCTTTTTTTCTCTAAATAAATGCAATTTTTTCGTCCTAGCCGTTAGTGCACTGCGGTTAACACGAGAAAAATTCGATTAGAGGTAAATACTCGGGCCATGTTAATTTCTACGGCGTGGGTCACGATAGCATATACCATCAAGTCTGTATATTCGTGTCTGTACACGGTATAGGGTCGACCCCGTTCGCAGCCATATAATATGGTTATATAGCCTATACAATATATAGGAAATATTATGCCTGAAAGTGATAATAAAAAAAAAACAACACTGCTAAGCGAATATGTGGATGCTATAAAAAAAAAACAAAATACTTAACCGTCGGTAGAAATCACTGCAAAATCAATACCGGTGGTTTTTGTCACTGCGGTTAGGAGAGGACAAATATTTTCAGTAAACACTTTGAAAAAGAACAAGAGATTTTAAAATACAAATTGGTGGGCTAGAAAAAATTGTAGGCAACATTTGGAATCGGTTAAACAAATAATAAAAAATAAACACTGGTTCTTGTTGAAAAAAAAAAGGTCAAGTTTTTTGTACAGTGTTATTAACAAATAAGAAATTATATTAATGATTGAGCCATTAATTAATACAATACCTAAATATTAAATACTTTGTATATCAAATTTAATAAATGTATACATAACTATTACATTATATATTTTATATATTTGATGTGCAATATTATTCGTGTCATTGAACAACATTTTTTTTTTAAATTAAATTTTTATTTTTATACTTTTAATTGAACAGATGAAAAATAATTTACGAATAATGGAATTTTATACTTAAAATATTATTTTTCGAGTGTTATTAGTAACTAAAAATCATCATGGCGTGGTAAAGAAATTAGTTTTTTAATATTTCACTAAAACGACTAATAAAAATAAATTTTATCAAATTTTAACGACCTAAATGTTTTGTTTTGTTATTTTATACCTAACTACAAAAAGCCAAACCGTTGTAAAAAACACAAAACCATCATCGAAGCTAAAAACTAGGTTAGTTATTGTTACCGGCAGAGGTTTCACAGGCCTTTGTGTAAACGTTGAAAGTATTGACTTTTGATAAATGGTCTGATAATTTGATTTGGGACTTAATGTATTATGTACATTAAAACTATAATACACGACGTGCTACAAACTTCAAATGGCAAGTCAAACTTTGTGTATGTATGCGATGCGCGGTTATACTTACATTGCAAACACTAAACATGTATAGGCATTTAAATCAATACAAATTTATTAGTTATAAATCAAATTTGTTCGCTTCCCAACTTTGTCAAAATAGACATGATTTTTTTTATATCGGTCAACTTTGTTGTACTAATACCGGTGTAATTTTTTTTAGTATATTTTACAGTTCATATATTGTGTTGTTGTTCTGTTTAGAATGGAAGTTGGGCCTAGTCGTGTGCAAACTTGTGCCGTACTTACAAGGAGTGTCCGTTTATGCATCCATCAACTTTTTGGTAGCAATATCAGTGGAACGGTGCCTGTCCGTGTGTTTCCTGGTGACACCGGTGGGCAAAGGTATTTGCTTGCGAGCGGTCTACGTCATATGGATCGCATCTTTCACAATTACAATACCTTGGGCTGTGTTTTTCGACTTGCAACCCATGGAAGAAGGCAGCGATCGACTAGTAATATAAAACAATATTTTACTTGAAATCATTATGCCAAAAAATCATCCAAGTCATGGTCGACTAAAGAGATTGTTCGAATAAAAAACGACCAACTCTGCGTACAGATTGTACAAATGTTCAAAACTTCAGTAAAATTTGAGAAATGGAAAATCCATCTCGGAAAAACATTGACCCGTGGATATGTTATCTCTTATCAGTTCTCTCTTATCGCTTATCATTTATCCATTATCACACATCTCTTATCACTTAACTATAATCTTTCGTCGTTTATCAGTTATCACTTGTCTACATTCTCTTACCAGTTTTATATTAGGTTTGTTCGTTTTGACAAAAAAAGTGTACACTTGTTTCACTAAAAGTGTACTACACGCTGTTTGTTTTAGTGTTGTATTAGTGTACACTTTTTTCACACCGACCGTAGAGTAGGTGTGATACCCAATTATCCGTGTTGGTCGTTATCATATTTCTTATCAACTAATTTCTATAATCAATTCTACTATCGATAGAAATAAATTATCAGTTGATTAATCTACACACCAAAAACGTTTGTTTAGAAATACCACACCTGATCACACACCCCAGACACTATACTAATATTAGTGTACACTTTTTTTCCAAAACGAACGAACCTTTTTTATCATTCATCACACCGCTCGTCTCTTATCATTTATCTCTTATCACTTTCTCTTATCACGTGACGTGAAGTTTCTCCGCGTTCACATCCCAAACGGAGCTATTTATTTTTAATTTTAAACAAATAAACGCAATTTTTTCGAACCCGATTTTTCGTTTTAGATATGCGTCGAGTCGTGGCCGACCATGGAGAGCGGCAACTGGTATTTCGTGATCGCCAACCTGCTGTTGTGTTACCTGGTGCCGCTGTCGGTGATCGCCGTGTGCTACATGTTCATCTGGCAAAAAGTCAGCCGTCGCAAAGTGCCCGGCGAACCCATCCCCAACGGCGCGCACCTGCTGCAGAGATCTAAGCTCAGAGTGATCACGATGATCTTGTACGTGGTCGTGTTCTTCGCGGTCACTTGGCTCCCGCTGTACGTCGCCTTTACCTGTATCAAGTTCATCGACATGTCGCCGGCAGTGGAACAGTTCATCATATCGGCCGTGCCCATAGCCCAGTGGCTGGGCGCGTCCAACTCGTCGGTCAATCCTTTGCTGTACGCCATATTCAACCACAGGTTCAGGGACGGCTACAAGGCGCTGTTGTCCGGCAAAATCTGCCAGGCGTTCGACTACAGCAACTCCATGAAGTATTTCAACAAGAAGGCCGGCACCGTGGTGAAACGCAAGAAGAAACCCGCCAAGACGGACCGGAAGAAGCCCGCGCTCAGACGTACCATAGGCGCCATCTACGTCGAACAGTCCGCCGCCGCCGGTCTGGGTAACGCCATCGCCGACCGGACGGCCGCGGTCAAGCCCAGGTCGTTGTCCATGAAAGAGTTTCGCATGAACGACGAGTTTGCCGAATCCATGCTTCAGTATTATTCGAAAAAGTATGCAAAGTCGTTTGTCTGATTACACCCTCATTGAAAATACACACTATATGTGTTCAAACGAAAACTGTTACAAATCGACGCCCTACATACCTACATGTCGTCCTCGAGTACAAAGGGGAACGTTAAAAAAAAAAAAACATAAATATGGTCCAAAATGGCCGACTTACGGTTAAAAACATGTTTTTTAAAAAATGGAAACCGTGTATTTTTTGTTAACCAAACAAATGTGCTCATCGAAACTATTTAAACGGCGAAACCCATAATTTGTAAATTAAGTCTCTTTAGCTATTTTTTAGTTTTGTCATTTTATTTTGATGCATACGGTATGTGTGTTAACCTTGGTTTGTGTGGTAATCATGGTATGTATGGTAACCGTGGTTTTTGTCTTTGTGATGCACAGAAAAGAGGAACCTAGCCTCCTGAACGTTAACGATAAAAAATAATGATAATGTAATGGTAAGGTTAGGTTAGGTTAGGAAATGATAAACGTACCACAGTTACCTTACATACCAAGGTTACCACACATGACACGGTTACCATATGCATCAAAATAAAATAACAAAAAAAAATAGCTATAGAGACTTAATTTACAAATTATGGGTTTTACCGAAAAATTTTTCCTACAAAAGTTGTTAGATTTGATAAGAACATTTGTTTGGTTAACAAAAAATACATGTTTTCTTTTAAAACAACAAGATTTTGACCGTAAGTCCGCCATTTTGAATTTTGGACCATGTATTTTTTTTTAACGTCCCCCTTTGTACTCTTAAAGTCTCTAATAACAACTTTTTGATATAATTTGTATTTTTGGAGAAAAATCGATTTGTATTATAAAATGGGACACTCTGTATATTACACCCTTGTAACAGTATCTATTCGATAACTCTGTAAAAAAAAAAAAAAACAATGCCCAAAAACATCAACAATAGCATCAGCCAAAAAGACCATTTCTAACTTTGTTTGAATTTTCCATTTACAAAATATCATCATCTAGTCTTATGTGCTCACTCAAAATCCTCCCTCCGATATCGATCATGATAAGTAAGTTTGTTTGCTATGCTATCTAAGTAGTTTTATTCTGACATATCACCGACCTGTACTTTGCCTATAAACTCTATTATTTTACCATATAATATTGTTACCTTACTCTCTTGGGTCAGAAATCCCTCTGGTTTTTGACCATGTCCATTGCCTTCGAACAACATTAAACATTAACACGTTAATACATGATTAAGTTAAGCTGATTTGAACCTTTTAACTAATTATTTAGTTACACAAATTCTAAAAATAAACTTAGTTAATTTTTTTTTTTATACAACTCCTCTGGTTTATAAACTTAAAATTGTTTTCACCCTAGAATAATTATGTAGTATATTGCTAAATTTTAATTTTCGTGATAGAATATGTGATAAAACTACTTTTTAAGTTGAGTGACAGTAAGTGAATATTTAAGTGCACAATATAACTGGGAGTGTTAAACTGACAAGTACATCTTAAGTAACATACTGATGAAAACGAGAATTCAGCTTTAGTCGAGTGTTTTTCAAAAAAATAGCATATATCATATTATATTATGTACTATATGTATATATATATTATATATAGTTTTTGTTACATAGTCAAGGCTGGCTAAAACAATTATTTAAAATTAAACTTTAATGTAAATATATTTAAGTAGATTTCAAGTTGAATTTATATTAAATTTCTTGACAACTTACCTACTTATTTGTTACTTTTAACCGGTGAGTAATTAATAAAGGTATAATTCGTATGAATAACTATTATTTATAATTGAAAAAAAAACAACTTGTCTTTATCTATATTCCATACTATAACCTAATCTATTAACGTGTTAATGTCTAGTGTTAATTATTTAAAAAAATTGATTATAGAGACATTACATATTATCTACTTAGAACTGAATAAACTGTAATACACCAATTATGATGTAGAGTTACTGTATTTTTCATACAGTATGTATAATAATGCTATATACACAGGTATAATGTAAATGCAACTATGAAGCACAATATGTGCTTTCTTCTTTGAAACTTCTGACAATTCGGTTTCTCCCAACCGATTTTCATTTTAAACCATTAACGCTTGTAAATAGTACTCTATAAGGAGTAAATTATTAGTGCGAACGACTGAGCCATTGTCTCATTGAAGTTAGAGCACATCAACACAAGTTACAAGACAATAGGATGGTTGGGTGGCCAAAAAAATGTAAAACATGTTACAAACGAGAGTGTAATAAAATATTTTTGTGGGAAAAATATTTAAATTCGTTACCTATTAACATGTGACGATGGGTTTTATTGACGGCCAGACCGAGTAAAAGATAATAAAACTTAGATTTTTATACGAATGGAACGTTATGATAATATTGTAAAAAAAAAAAAAGTAATGATAATAAATAAAACGAGTATTGATGTTTTTTTTTTGTGAGCGATAAACGTGATTCATGTTGGCTGTGGTTGTTTTTAGAGTGTATTGTTTTTTATGTGAAGCGATTACATTGCGTGTAAAGCGCATTTCACATTGTTCTGATAAATTTACATTGCTTAATTGTATTGAACGCCATTTAAACTATTGATTTCCGGTTAGGTTAGGTTTTGGATTAATTTCCGGTAAAAAATATTTAAAATAATTAAAAATGTCTTCTAGTTAAAAAAAAAAACGTTTTAACTGAGTAGCCAAACATAATGATATGTAGTTCGAATGGTTAATTGTAATAATATCACTTACCTATGTTAGGTTATTAAAGCGAAAATAACGAATAATTATTTACAAGGGAATTTAATTTTAAAGACAACAAAATACTCGTTTGATAAGACCTTGTATTATAATATATATATATATAAACGTATGACATATATATATATGGATAAAAGCGGAATTTGTGAATTTACTTCAAATTGTATCTCTGTAAAACTTGGTAAGACAAGTGTGTGTGTGTGTGTGACCTAAAATATAATAACAATACATTCTTAACCCTCTCTCACTCCAACTATCTTTGTTACCTAGTTTTCTAATCTGAAATACGCTAGAAAAAAGAATTTTCTCATATTTAGAATTATTACAAAAATTAGATGTATGGATATATATTATGTATTAACGGTAATATTATAGTAATCGTTTATATTTATATTATATGTGAGTATGTATACATTTTTATGTTAACGCGTTCGATTCTAATACAGATTAAATGTACTATATATATATATATAAGTAGTAAAGATGTACTTAATACACTGGCAACAGTATTGCATTGCTTGGCCCATCTAAAGTATATATTATATTAGTATAATATTCTTTGTATATTACCAATAGTGATTTTTTGTAATCTGCGATTCTTGTGTTACCTACGGTTTACTTACTTATGTGTTACCAAAAAAAAAAAAAAAAACCATTATACACGTCGTATCCAAGTGATAATGGAAAATAACAACAACAAAACTATGTATATAAGTATACACAATAGAACGTAAGACGTTATTTGTAATGTATATGATATATTTATGTATATAATATTATCGAGTTAATTATTTATGCTAGTTGCTTTTAACGTCTAGCGGCTTAAGTAGGTGTACACCTCTACCTAGTGAATATTATTATGTGTTATTATTATACTTACTTTCTTAAGTTTTCTATAGCCGAGTAAGTTATAAGTCCCGCGTGTACCGACCCGTAAGTAAACTCAGTTACAGTTTATATTATTATTATTATATGTATATTATACACAAGGTAACTTAGAGCGATATCGTGATACCAATTATATTATTATATTACCTAATTTGTTTCCTAAACTGCAGTGGTTGTTCTTAAAATATTCGAGTACGAATAAACCTTCACTTCCTACATGCAGGCTTCGCACGTGAAAAAAAAAAAAAAAGATTCTTAACTGTTTGTTTGTGTATAATATGTTTAGAGAATAATTTTCCAGGACTGTGTAGTATTACTTAAACAATATGATATACCTAATGATATTATTTATTGGACAATAAAGCACAAGTTTACAGTGTACTTATATCTGACCGGCGTTTGTTTATTTCCTTTTCAGCGGACATCAGCAGCAGAGCTGTTTTGTGTATAAAGCTATATTGTATATTATCTATCCACGACGACATGTACAGTAGATCAGAAAGGTTTAAGCAGCAATCCAAGCAAGTGTCGGTGGCTCCAAACCGTTACTACACAGGAGAACCACTGTCGCACAAACGTAAGACCAAAAATAAAAATATGTATCAATCTGTTCGTACTTAGTTGAGAAACGCCAACTTGGGTCTGTCTACAATAATATTGTGTTCTGCTCGTTTATAAGCAAATAACGTTGTATATTTGTTTCCATGAAAGGTGTTATAATATAATTTTTATTGAGCAATAAAGATAAAATATAGTGTATAGGTATACACTTTATGTTATCGGTGAACCGTTGCCAGTAAAAATGTGAATTAACTGGACCCTAAAAAAAAAAAAATGGTAATGTTTATTTTATTTTTCCATAGTAATAACTTTTTGATAGCAGCCGCTACCTTTGGGCAAAATTTAAAAAAACCTTAATTACCGCGGTTACATTTTTATGACTTGTTTTGTAATATTTTTAACGACTTTAACGTACCTACTTATACTTAAATGCGTCCGAAGGATACTGTATTTGAATTCTTTAAATAAGTTGTGCCTTAAATAAAGGTGACCTCTTTGCCCAATTCGCCCAAGTTGTCTCGAGATATTGTAGCAATTCTAAACTAATGGGCATTGGCTAAAATTAAAAAAAAAATGTATACTTATGCCTCTTTAAACATAATGTAAATCACTTAAGTTGTAAAAAACTTAATAAGAGTTGTAGACAATTCTATGGAGATGGAGCGTATAAAACTTTGTCTAAGATGAACTTTTGACTATAGAACTTGAATTGATCTATTCACAAATGCAGTTTTAAACATATTATGTATACTGTATGGAATAAGTTTACTTCCAATTGATAATGTATTAGGTTCTGTTTCTTATCGGTGATTATTATGTTGATTATGCAATCAGAACTTGTTCCAGGGCGTTGTTTTTTAAATTATTTTATTATGTTAAACGTATAAAATGTACACACATATGTGTTGTATGCTACAGGCAGAAATGAGCACAATGAAAATCAATTTCTATTTAATATACAAAATGAAATATAACAATTATTATTTATATGATAATAAAAAATTATAAATTATTGTGCAAACAAAAACTATATTTTTTGCAAATTTCCACACCAGGACACGAATAATTTTACTATATAATTTTTTTTTAATTTAATGAAACCTTTTGAACGTAGTATGTTTTTATCATTGTAATTACTTTTCCGGAAAATTGTTTATTTACTTTCTTACCCGGAAACGTATCGAAAACGCGTTTTAAGTTGTGTTTTTTTAATGAAATAAGAAGAAAACATATTATTTTAATGCGACGCGTTTTGTAAGCTTGTACAAACAGTTACCTGTTGGCCGTACACCAATGCAGTAAATAAGAAATATTACATTCAATAACAAAAACAACATCTGGAAAAATCAACCTAGTTTTATTATTCGGCCTTAAAATGTACCTTATGATATTTTTTCTACGAGTGGAAGCCATTTTGTTCCTATAAGAAACACATTTTCTGTTATTTCTTTGCTTTAGAGTTTTCAAACCGAGTTTTGAACCCAATTTCGACTGGTGTAACACAAGTTGTGTTTCAGTATAATAATTTTCCAAAACTAATATTATGAGTAGATAACAATGTTTTATAATAATGTCTTTTATGAGCAGCTGTACAGTTATTTTTTGTAATCGCGGGTCTATTTGAAAATTATTTAAATTTAAACAATATATTTTATTTGTAACATTTTTGATTTTTATAATTCTGAATTCGTAACAATATTAAGCGACAAAAAAATATGATAATATAATTGACTTATATGCGGTGTCTTATAGCCCTTAAAAACCTTATAAGCCGGTGTCTTATACACTTCTTATGGCCGCCGGTTCTATCGCATTCTTGCAACTTGTACAAGCGAGCATTTAAGTCGAGTACTGGAAATGTATCGGTGTTCACCGCTCTTGAAAATCTATAAAAAGTCAGAAGCCGTTCTCCTACTAAAAAACGCAAACACAACATAATAAATAAAATATATAAATTATAATAAAATGTTTATAAAAAAAAAAAATAAAACCTAAACAAATTTACTTACACCCGAATTTTTCCATAATGTCATCGATATCTTTTGGAGTGAATTTTTTTTCTACATCATATTTTTCTATGTCGGCGATAGTAATATTAGGTTCAAATTGTCCTTTCGAGGCGATTTCTTCAAATTTCTCACGTATCACCTGAACATTTTTTTTTAAACTTGTAATTTTATTTTTTAGAACCGTTTAAACACCAGCTTCTGGTATTTAATTAGGCTATATTTGATGTAACTGTTTTAAATAATAAAAACAAATACAAGTGTCCGTTCTAATTTGGTTTTGAGATTTTTATCGATGAATTTTAAATAGCAAAGTGATAAATTCTAATTTATTATTATTTCTTTCGAAATTATGTACAGTTCACAAAATTATATTAATATCTATGAAGAACAACAGCTGATAAATATGTACATATTTTATGTAATCAATGGGATTTTGGTAGACCCCCCCCAAACCTAGTCCTCATCGTATAAGTAGGTACTATAATTTTTTGGGCCCTTACATCTTTGTTTGGTCGAATATTTTCTTAGAAGAATTTAGGATAAATGTATCGACGACAGATTGTATAAAATGTATGAAAAAAAGCATTTTATTGAGATAAAAAAAATAATTTTCCTGTTATATGGGTTGATTCTCTTTCGAAAATTGAAACGTTTAATTTTTTTTTTTAATTTTAGAAAATTTATGTTAATTTATGTTATTTATTGCAGCTGTAGAATCCAATTTTTTAGCTCAATAATTGCTCTTGTGTACATACATTGTTACCATCAGAAATAGCATAATATAACTCACAGATAAATCCCATCTTGGTATATAGCCTTCATCTGCGGCCTTGATAAATCCGTCATAATACATTTTTACGTCTGATTTACCTATGGGAACATCCGAATTACAAAAAAAAAAACTTAATTGTCTTTACAAGATAATCTGGCTGACAACCGAAGTCTTTTAGAGTAGTTTTGTTAACAGTTTACACAGGTATATACTATATAATCACTATTAAAATTGTCAAGTGTACATCTGCATTCCATTTACCTTTATCATTCTTAAATGTGACTCCAAATCTTGTTGTTATGCCAATAAATTGTATTTCATTCACCTTATAATACTCCATCAAGTCGGACCACTGTATATAGTCCTTTTCGGTTTGTACATTTTTTATCGCATTCCATAGAAAATCTAATTCCTAACATTGGTAAGAAAAATAATACAATGAAGTTCCACGTATGTTAGTTTTGATGTGTACAAATTGTTGTGGAAAAAAGTATACTTACCGGTTTCTCGATAGCATTTATCGCTGGAATATAAAATGTTACACATAACAAAATCAAATAGTTAACATTCATTTTTATATTGATATTTTATCGCACTCAACTAGAAGATATCACAAGTAAATCTAGATTGAACTTACCACATAATGATTCTTATACAAAAAGTTTTATTGTAAATTGTTACGGTATAATATTTTTCTTTAAGCTTACATCAAGTACATGTATGTTACAGTAACTGCGCAAACACACACAATTCAAAAAGAAAATACTGTACTATTTGTTTCACACGTTTACCATTACTAGGTAAATAATTTAATCAAACAACTTTTAGAATAACAATTTACTAAACGTTTCGTTGCGATTATTTTCTAGTGTGTTATATTGTTTGCAATTTTTACATATGAAGAACAAATGAGTATTACCATGGCGCACTTGTTTTACCTCTATATAAGCTCTTATATACCTATGTATCTAACGAATGTGTACATTCTTTTGAATTTACAGATGACCACTACAACTTTATTGTTTATGTAAACATTGCTGATCGGTTTTTGGCAGAACTCAAAATTGTATTATTTAGTTATATTATTACTTATAATATTAAGTTTATTGTGGGAATAATAAAAATCAATGAGCACCAAAGTAAAAAAGGAGTTGTTAACGGAAACAATAATAATTTTTTATTTAACAGTATTGAACAGTTTACATAATATATCAATACAACACTGTATCGTCCATCGTTAAGGATAAAATCTTTATTTTAAAAGACAGGTGTCTCTAAAGAAAAAAAATGCATATATTATATAATAAGAAAAATATAAATCAGTAAATAACAAATAAATATACTTAATATAAATATTCAGAATTTGTATACACATAAATGATAAATTTGTATGAAATCAAATAGTAATATTTAAATAATAATAACAATATTTAAAAACAGAAATATATATATTATGATTGATTTATGGTGTCTGCTTCTTATGGTTATCGGCTCCAACGCATGCCTACTTGCAAAGACGAGCATTTAAGTCGAGCACTGGATATTTACCAGCGTTCACCGCTCTTATAAATCCAAAGAAAGATAGTCTAGGCTGTTCTTCTTCTAAATAACACCAACATAACATAAATTAAATATATGTGAATAATAACAAATTATAGTAAGAATGTTTTATTATAATGAAGTTGTAGTTGTTAAAAATCACAATTTACTTAAACCGCATCCGAATTTTTTCATAATAGCATTGATTTTTGTTTTACTATATTTATCATGCTTTTTTATATCGTCGAAAAATATTTGGAGTCCATATGGTCCCCGTGAGGCGATTTCTTCAAATTTATCACGCATCAACTAAAAAAAAATTTTAAAACTTGTAATTCAATTTTTTAGAACAGTATAAACAAATGCTTCTGCATTAAATAGGCAAATATAGCCTAACAACAGCTGATAAATGTATGAATTTCATGTAATATTTATACTAATACTGTGGAATCCAGTTTTAACTGAATAATTACTCTCGTGTATGTACAATATTACCATCAGAAATAACATATAACTCACATATAATTCCCATCTTGGTATAAAGCCTTCATCTGCGGCCTTGATAAATCCATCATACTCTAATTTCACGTCTGGATCGCCTAGGAACGTCCAAATTTTAACAAAAAAATAATAATTGTGTTTACAATATAATCTGGCTGATTACCATGAGTCTTTTGGATTATTTTTGCTAATAGTTTATATACTATAATACAATCTCTTCTAAAAATATTAAGCGTTTAAAAACTGCATTACATATACCTTCATCATTCTTAAATGGGACTCCAAATCTTGTTGTTACGGCAGTAAATAGTACTGTTATCTCATTATAATCGTAATAAGCAACGAGGTCGGACAAGTGTATATAGTCTTTTTCGACTTTAACATTTTTGATTGCGTTCCATAGAAAATCTAATTCCTAACATTGGTAAAAAAAAATAATACAATGATATTCCGCGTATGTTGGTTTTGATAAATATGTACAAATTATTGTGAAAAAAATTATATAATTACCGGTTTCTCGATAGCATTTATCGCTGGAATATAAAATGTTACACATAACAAAATCATACACTTAATATTCATTTTTGTATTAATATTTTTTCGCACTCAACTAGAAGATATAACAATTAAATCTAGATTGAATCTACCGCATAATAATTCTTATACAGAAAGTTTTATTGTAAATGGTTTCAAAATTATATTTTAATTTAAGCTTATATCAAATACACGTGTGCTACAGTAACTGTGCAAACACAGACAATTCTAAAAAAAAAAAAAAAAATACTGTACTATTTGTTTTAGACGTTAACCCTTACTAGGTAAATAATTTAAAGGAAAACTTTTAGCGAATACAAAGTGTCTACGCGTGTCGTTGTGACTATTTCCTAGTGTGTTATTTTGTTTGCAATTTTTACATGTGAAACCAAAATAAATAACAAATAAGTATCACCATCGGTTTTGGTGGAACATAAATCTTTGTAATGCCTAGTCCATAGAATCAACACAGAAAATAAATACAAGAAAACATAACATGCGTTGAAAATTTATATTTTATATTTTATATTCTATAAAACAGAAATTAGACATATTATTAATAATAATATGCGAACCAATTAAATTTAGCACATAACATTGTGATTTAGCAGAGTAACAGAGGTTTTAAGTCAGATTAGATTTAGATTTTTAAATTCATGTTTTTACTTGAATGTAATTCAGCATAAGAAAATAAAGGCGCTGTTTAGGTAACCCATTTTACCAAAGCAAAATAAAAATAATAATAACTTTAACAATCATAATAAACAAATACACAGACAGAAAAATATTTAGGATTTGCATATACAAAAGTGCTAAATTTGTATGAAACCAGAAAGATATATTTAATAATAATAATCATTTTAAGCAGTAGATATATTATATGATTAAAATAATACAATCATCAGTTACAGTTCACCCGAGAAAAATAATTTTTGTTTTTCTGTTGAGCTGTGTTACAGTAAATGTTGTTTGGGGATTTTTTTCTGGAAATGATAAATTTCTGATCATAACTTAATTGGAATTTCATTAGAACATTATGTACCGTTTTTGGTGTCCAGCACGGGATCTTCGATTGAAAACAAGACAGATTTGAAACTAAGTGCTGCCGACTATTATCCGCTGTACCGGAAACACCGAATTAAGGTCACCGTTAACGTTAATAATAATTATTATTGAACTGACTCAACGATAACCGCATATGATAATATTGCAGTTGGGGAACGCATTGCGTTATAGTGAAAAACGAAATCTTAAACCGTTGCCCGACTACTTGAGAAGTCCAAAGAAAAATGTCTATCCTTTGCCGCCGACACATCAACAAACTCATTTCGAAGACACTTTTGGTGTACGTGTATACCAGCCGTAGTAAGACTTATTATTAAAAACCGTCATAATGAGATACTGTTATCTTTTGTTCGTTGAAATGATAGGATGGACCAAAAATGGCAGTGAGAATCCAAACTGAAATCACCGTAGTAAACGGACCGGAAAAAGTTATAAAAATGCATAAAATCGAAAACTTCATTGTGAGTATATATTTTATAGTACTTGTGCCAAAGTATACGTATTTTTTTTTTTACTTTTAAGAAGATATTTTTTACCTGCAATTTAGGACTATTCCAAGTTGTCAGAGTTACACTTCCCCGACGACCCACATTGGCTAGACAATTACATTAGCAACGAAGACGGTCCCGTGGAAGACGAGCCTCGAGTATGAATATTGAGTTTATATAATATAAAATGTTATACCGAAAAAACCATTGTTTCTATGTCACAGCTTTTGATTGCAAGGTTCAGATCATCACGAAGCAGACCAAACCGTACCGATCCAAACGCTAAGTCTATTAGAAATTGTGTTCAAGTCATCGCGTTGGGCGCTAAAGAATCAAATGTAAACTTTCGTGTACATTCTGTTTGGTTTCAATAGGAAAATAACATAATTTTTTTTCAGACAAACATACATTATGAAATACCGGTAAAACCTAAGAAAATAAAACATAAAGCGGCCAAACCTAAAGACACAGGCCCGGGACCGAGCTCTTATGATGTTCCTTCGACGTTTGGCAAGCAAAAACCGTATTACTTCTATTGTGCCCTGCAGAAGCGCAGCCCGCAACTGAGATTCTTGGACACGATGGTTTCCAAAGCTATTCGAGAAGTAAAATTCATATTATAGTGGAATTAAGCATAAATGATTGATAAACGAGAATTTGTCTTGGAGGCAAAGCAGAGAGTACTATGCCAACAGTATAACTTACATAAGTCTTGTTGTGTACTTTGTTAGAACATTCCTGGACCTGGTAAATACGACGGACCTAAGTCGTCTTTTGATAAATCACCAAAATCGCCGAAACCATTTGTTTTTCCCACGTGTTCGGCAAGTGAATATACATTTAATGAAAAATATAATATTACAGCTTGTGTAAATGTTGTGCTTTTGTGTTGTAAACAAAATACCTATAGAGAAAGGAACCGGAAACACAGGAAATGGCTCCCAACCGTTATAACTTGAACTACAGGCTTGTGGAGAAATCGGCTCCAAAGTGGCCGTTCAAAGGAATGGAAAGGAACACCACGCCTATGATTATCAAAAACATTCCTGGTAAACAAATATATATATATATATGGGTTTGTTGTAATATTAAAATTACCAATAAACAACTGCATATTAACTAGTCCTGTTTCGTTTTAAATCAAAATCAAAGGCATTGATTTAGTCGAAAAGAACAACAAACCGACGTAATTGCTTTTATCGCTGAATTTGTAGGAAAATAAAAAAATACAGGGTGTTCCAGCATTAAAGGTAAGTAATAGGTGATTGGACATCTAGGGAACCCCCAAATTAGCCCCCCGTTTTCATTTTTTCGATAAGTAAAAAATTGAAGGTTTCGACAGTTAAGTAAAAAAATAATGACTTAAAAAAACAAAAAATTATTCCATGTTTTTCAGTGCAAAAAACTCACCTTAAAAGAGGGGTCACATCATTTTCAGTCTTTTTCAGCCCCTTTTTTCTTACCTCTAGTCTCTAATCATTTATCTCTTATCATTTATTTCTTATCTCTCATAATTTATCTCTTACAATTATCTCTTATCAATTATGTCTTAGCATTTATCTTTATCACTTATCATTTATTTCTGGTCTCTTATAATTTTTCTCTTATCATTTTTTGAGTTAGGGCCCGAAAGGGACTGAAAATGATTTGACCCCTCTTTTAAAGTGAGCTGTTTGCACTGAATAACATGGAATAATTTTTTGTTTTTTTAGGTCATTATTTTTTTACTTAACTGTCGAAATCTTCAATTTTTTACTTATTGAAAAAATGAAAACGGGGGGCTTATTTGGGGGTCCTCCAGATGTCCAATCACCTATTACTTACCTTTCATGCTGGAATACCCTGTATAAACCCTGTTTTGAATATATTTTTTAAATGCTTTTCTCGGTTTTATTAGCGTCCTGATAGTTATTAATAAAAAATAAATAATGTGTTACCTATTTGATTTTATAAACGTTGTTGGGAAAACTAGTTATAGTAAGCGCCATCTAGCGTTTGTAGTTGTTAGAAAAAACCAAGTAGCTCGCTGCAACCGGTAGATGGCGCTATATTAACTAAAATGTGCATCGAGGGGCAAATTTAAATATGAAAATATGTTATATAATTTAAAAATTATTTATACTTACTTGTATTCTATATTGTATACTTGACTCTCCTTTCGATTCAGGACCATCAGAGTATACGGTCAATGCAGGAGACATTGCGTACAAAATTCACAAGCAATTAACATACAACCAACAACATTCAGTGTCGAAACCGCCTTTTAATAGCGCTACCGAACGTTATTCTTCTACAGTCGACCAAAAACATAATATGAGTTCCATCGAGGAAGATCAAAAGGTATTGAAAGATAGTATGTGAATATTATAAGAACAGACCCGTTGCAAGCAACCTCGCTCTGTAAAAGAATAATAGACGGTTAAAAATATAATAGGAATTAATTTTCGCGGTCAAACTGTATGCCTGTATTTATTTTATTAAGTAATGGCACATAAAATGTGAGATGATTATATATATATATGTATTCTGTTTTTGTAGCTATTGAAAGACATTATTATCATTATTACATTGATACAAAATTAACGAGTCATCGTTTATTAAACATTATTATTTGGTTTAACGATTTTTGTTGTTGTTGTTAAAACGTGCCCATTAAAAACTCTGCTACCCTATCGAGAATAGGATATATTATAATAAATTCAGTTTTTCACGAACAACAAAATTTAGGTAATTAATTATTTTTAACTTGAAAGAAAAAAAAAGGGGTATTCTGTTGTATATATTTGACGGTTAAAAAAAAAAAAATAATAAGAATAAGATGAGTTGTTGTAATAATTATTCACCGTATTATTATGTGTTTTTTAATAATGTTGAACCTGTTTTTTTTTGTTATTATTATAGACACTCGACGAAACAAACGAGTGCATAAGGCCGCACTCGACTTTTGTCTCAAAAACCGGAAGGAGCAAATTACAAGTAAGACAAGTCAGATAAAAAAAATAGACGTTAAGACGAACATTTTTCATCTCTTGCTCTTATTTGGGTAATTGTATATTTGTTTACATCCTGGTTTGTACTCGTTTGGCTAGGTATATGTCAAAGGGCTTAAACTTACATACAGCACAAAGTATAGACGGATAGATTCGCTTTAGCCATTCTGAACCGAGTTTGAGATCAGGTGTACCGTGTAGGTATGCCATTATGATAATGGCACAGGCTCGTCAGTCAGACAAGGTCTATGAGAAATCCAGACGTTTCACAAGACACACACACACACTGTGCAAACAAAACCGGAAACGTGCTACGATTAATAATAATTCCTCTTAACTCTTGCACTGCGCTAATTACTCAAACCCGACACGAGCCGTTTCTTCTTTGCAGCCCAAGTGTAGGTAGGTACGTCTCGGGTTCATCAATCACACGGCAATCCCATTGACAAACAAACCGGGTGGGTACGTCTAAGACCCTCTCCTCGACACCTGCTCTGTTCGTACATTACACACACCGCCGTGATATTATATTATAATAATACCCCTTACATATACATATCAGAGTATACGCCCAACCGTTAATCACCAGCCGAGCGATTCGCACCGACTGACGACTTACAGGGGACAGAGAAAGGCACACACACACAGATTGAATTGCTCGGCTCAAGTCAAACGAAGGAGTTAGCCAGGTACTTCAATTACTGATCTGTGTATACTTGTAAGTCGCGGGCAAACACAGCTGTCGACCGAGATTACAGATTAATAAATTAACGCTTGGCCGAGGAAAAAAGAAAAAAAAAAGCAAGTACAGTGGGGTCGGGGCATAGTGGGGACGGACAGGTCTACAGATTGTATTATAACTGAAAGTGATAAAATCACTTTTAAATAAACGGTGCTTCGATGCGAATCTGTGGATAATATGTTCAAATCAGTTATAGTGGTTTAGAAGATATCGTGGAACCAGGAAAAATGTGATTAAAATTTAATATTTAGTCTTGTGCAGGGTGGATACGATAAGGGTTGATCGTCTGTCTATGAAAATGTACTGTCATAGTTACCCATATATCGTAATTAACAATATAATGAAAATATTTTCATTACCTGTTGACTGTTGATTCACACACACATAGCAACCGCTAGAAACTGACTACGGCCAAAGTGTACATTTACCCTATTTTTGGGGTTTTTCCGTAATAAAAAAAAAAAAATTTGACTATAGATTTTTGAGAAAATTTTATATGTTATAGTTCTATCTTTTAGATCTACCTTTGGTCTAATTTTCCAATCTAAATCTCTAAAACTTTGCTTGAAAAAGTGAAATAAAGAAAAAAATTCTATCCATTCTAAGGAAAGGGCTTATGATATTTTTTTGGTTTGTTAATGTTTATCAATAGTACTATGTTTGAAGAACAATTCATATAAACTTGGAACATTTGTAAATTTTTTAGGTGTTTTTCTCGATTTTGATGGGGAATGGGTGACTTTTTTTTAATTTTTGGCCTGATAAAGTACCTTCCAGGTATGATTTCTGATCTATAGAGTTGCTACACGAATAAATCGGTTCAGCGGTTTACAAGATGTCGTGGGTCCAGACACAAAAAAAATAAATAAATAAAATAAAAACACATCATTGTAAAAACAATACCTTCTCAGCTCCGCATCGAAGCTAAAAATTGTAGCAAGTCTATTGTACTTTATAGGGTGAGCTATTTAAAAAGTTCACCCCTGCCACTTCGAACAACGAGAATAACACCCAAAAAAAATATACTTGGGAGTTACTTGGGTGATAGGAAGGAGATAATTCGGCCAATAAGCCGTTAGTCAGCCAATCAAAGTCAGAAAGGTCATGTCTCACTCAGAAACTGAACTAACTTTGTTATGAGCAATACAAATAAAAAGATCAGTGTTGCTCATGAAGTAAAGAAATTATCAGACTTGGCCACAATGCGGATATCACTACTTTGATAGGCTGACTTTTTTTGTAGGGGCTCTGGAACCTTTGGCCCTTTTTCACTATTAGGTTGGCGTTGGAGATGCGTTTTGCACGAAGAAAATAAACTCAGAAAATATACAAAATATGTATTGGCTAAAATATTCGTAGCTTAATTTGAATTATAAACATTTTTTTGATGATAATTTTAAAGAACGGACGGTTTAAATGACTTAAGTACACGGTGATTTCAACGGGGCGGAATGAGGTCAAGCTGACCTGGGTTTTTTTTTTGCCAATAAAACAAATACTGTTTTTTTTGTGAAACATTCCAATATCGAATATTACTAAAATTTGGCATTTTTGTGCGCTTTTGAACGCTTTCATAAACTGCGTTTAAACGATAAGTCAACAAAATGTCAGTATTTTTTTTTGTAAGCAAATAATACGAATAAAACGGTCGTATTGTTTTTGTTAAAACTTTTTTTTAGTTTTTTTTTTTTTTTTTATGATGGATTCGCTCTTTTTAATGTCAAGTAAAAGGCCGAGTAGAGAGAAAACTATAAAACGTGAAAACAAAGTGCGATAATTTTTACCCGTGTTGAAATCGTTAAACCGAAAAGACGTGGAAAAGACACGACCGTTTTGCACCGTCTAATTACTTTAATCCAAAGGGGGTGGACTGGAGACAAAACGCCACTGTACCAGAAGATCTTTTTAAGTATAATTGGGGCAATTTTGTCGGCACTTACGTTTAATACGTTCTGTTCCTCACTCGTTTGTCGTTTCCCGGCCATAATAAAATGGTTGTCTAATCCATATGATACATATTATATACCCGTAAAGCCTAAACTCTAAAAGATATGGATGTATAAAGTCTTCACAGAAAACCATACACAATTGGTCCAACTAAATTTTATGATAAAACAACTATACATTTAATTCGGCCGACTAAACGTTTAGTTGGGCCTAATTTAGTTATTCCGGCTAGCCATTTTTGTGTCCTTATAAGTCAAGTCGGACCAAAACGGGTAATTTTTTTAGTGAATACAATAATTATTGGGTTAAAAATTAAATAGTATATATTATATTGTACTTTATATTCTGAATAATGTTTGTCGTTCTTTAAGTAGCTCATTCTTTTCGAGCACGAGTCATTTGTCTGCGTTAATTTACCGCAGTTTAATCCTTGGACGATTGATTTTAATTGTCCACCGTTAGGCCGGCGGGTTTACCGGTAATTAATATTAATAGCTAGCAATCAATAATTCGCATGTTAAGCCGACAATGCACGCCGTGAATAATAATAATTGATGGAGGCATTTGTCGTCACCGTTCGACCACCCTAGTACAATAATTGCCGAAGCCGGCAATAGAGACCTGGCCTTATATAGGTCACTTACATACTTGGACAGATAATAGAAAAGTGATAAGAGATGAGAGATAAACAATAAAACATAAGTGATAAGTGATAAGAGGTAAGAGATAAAACACAAAACATGTGATAAGAGATAAATTACAATCATAGATATATATATATATATAATAAACTAGATTGCTTATACTGTACATGCCACCAATAGAGAAGATTGAAGCAGCCACTTTCCGCCATCTTGGTGGAAATTAGAACCTTATCACGTGAGAATAATATATGTTTACAACAATCACATATATATATATATATACATTGATATAATAATATATACAGATATATATATATATATATACTATTGATAACACACATAAATCCTACCAGAATGGCGGACCGTCGGCTTCAATTCTTATCGCTAGTTAGCAATCTAGTTTATTATATATATATATATCTGTGATTACAATTGATAAGAGCTAATTGATAAGTGATAAGAGATGAACGATAACAGATCTACTGTAGGTATGGAGCTGAGAAAATAACTAGTTTTTTACATAATACATTTATAATTCACATAATATATAACACAATGTTATATATTGAGCCCTATAGAGCGACACATCTACAAAGGAGTCTTGGTTAAAAATATATTGATCAACTTTGATATCCCAAATCAAACTGGGTTATTGTTCTTAAAAGTATACAAGTTCCACACGGTTTGTTCGTCGTTGTAGTATGCCTGTTATCAAATAAACTATCTAAATATCTTCTCTATTTTGCCAATCCCTACCATCTTATAGTCATCTTATTGGGTAGTGAACTCGATAAGCAAATATTTCCTATACTTCAGCCGTTATTGTTATATACAGTCGTTTCAATGAACTCGAATGATTAACAGACAACAAGCTTTTTAATTTTATCAGTACATCATTTGATACAATGATACAGTTGATGGTACCAAAGTACTAAAGCACACGCGGCCAATTAAATTTCCTTATTATCATTATTTTTTTTTTTTGCAACGGAAAAATGTGCTTGGAAAATAAATCGTTTCGACGTTTAATTTTTTTTTTTTATGCCATTAAATTACAACTTGTACATTTATTCTCCGAGTATTCGCAGTAAAGAACTACAATGATAATAATAAATGTCATATATATATATATATGTACTTAACCACGTTGGATTATTATTATTTTGGTATTTTTTTATTATCTTTCTCGCGACCTATTTCTTAATAAATTGAATTGCGTACACCGAGGAGACAATATATGATATTATTATTTTCATGAAACATTAGCTAGCCAGTTTTTTTTTTTTTTTTACTTTAAAACCCTACTAGGTACGTCGTTTTAACGGGCGTCTATATTTATGTCTAGCTTTTAAGTCAGACGACGATACTGCCCCCTGTTCACGTTAAGTATGTTTTATAATAATATCATCGCGTAAGTTACGAGGTCATATTTCTCTCTGCCATATTCTCCCGAGCTCGGGTAATCTGATATCAAGAATAGAGGAGGAGGAGGAGGAGGAGCCATAATAATAATAGTAATAGTATTATATTATATGTGGGCCGAGCACGGACGTTAAACAGTAGCAGTGTACAACCACCTGCGATTTTCAAACGAAAAAAACCAACAAAACAATTACCAAACGCACAGAAATGGGACCACTTAGGGGACTCCCGGGAAATGTACGGTTATTACACACACACACACTATACTACAACAAACAGCACAAGACAATATTATTAATGGAACACCGCGTTACAGTCTTAAGTAGGGTCGAATAGGTTGTAGGCCTATTTTTCCCGGTTTAAGTCGTTTTTTGTTTGAAAATCGCCATGACCGCCGTGTCGTCCACCGATTACCGCACGCGGATTAATATATTATACAATAATGATGTTCAACTGCCAACTCTAATGGTGTGTGGTGTGATCAACAAGATCATATGTTTGCTGTACAAAGAAAAACGATAGTGCATTTGGTCGTCGTCACATACGGTGATGTGCGCACATTAAGTGCCATACACGAATACATCATTTACCATATACAAGTATAGTCGTTGATGTATGTAAAAAAAAAAAAAAAAAAATGTACACAGGACGGATTTCAAAACCCTTTTACGCCTAGGATTTCTTTTAATAGCGAATTGAGGATCGTGGACGGTTCGAGAACCGTCTCCACAGTAAACTGTACTGTACTCTCAATTACTATGGGATATTACTATATATACATGATAATATATTATTATGCCGGTGGGTAGATCAATAGAATAAAATATTATATAGCTATATATATATCGCTATATAGATTTGTTTATGGAATTAATTCGATATTTTCACCGAGGCTCACCCGGACCTCACGTCATGGCGATCAATCAAAAACGATAATAATTAAAACTCATTTGGAATAATTAATAAAGCGACTGCGGTGACCGTTTTTTTTTTTTTATTAATTTTTATTTTCTGGATGGCGGTTTTTTTTTATGTTTTAATCACTCTGGCCGGTCTGTCGATAAAATAAAATGAACTTTGATCTTTTCCAAAGTCGGTTCGTCGAATAATTACCAAAAAGGATAATAACGTTAGTAATTTTTTTTTGTTTCAATCAAAACACCAATTGAGTTTTATTAATGGTAATTATATCATTAACTACTTAGTTATGATGTATACAGGGTAATTATTTAGTTTGAAGACGTCAAATGCAGATATTGTATTTGTACAGAGCGATCCGTTTGATGTAAGACACTCATTTGTTAACTATATTTTTCAATACTTTAACATTTCTTCATCTTCATCCCTTATGGACTAATAAAATGTGTTGATACACAAGCGCGGTTCTTATAACACAGTGTACACGCCCTGTATACTCTGTTGGTAACAAATAAAATAATATTGCTTTTTAGTAAAAGTGCGTTTATATTGTATTCCTTGTATTTGTGTTTAAGAATTTCTCTTTAAGTTTGCTTTCTGATTATAAAAAAAAAAAAAAAACATTCAAAATATCATGTTTGATACTAAAACATTCTTATTTTACTAGTTAAAGAGACGCAAAAAATAAATAGTTTTGCGTTTTCATTTTATCTTAACTGCTTCGTCCAATAAACAAATAAGGGAGCTCAGCCAAATCCTTTCTATTCATTTACTGACTTTAGTATCTCATGAAACTCATTTTATCCAACTTGTCACAATTTGTATGCAGCAAATCTAAAAAAGAATATTCGAATTTTGATATTATGTGACATCAGAGTAATTGAATTGATTTTTTTTTAAATGTAATACAGGTGCAGTCTTCTGGAGTGGATAAATATTATAATATAGCTAAAGCCGTCGACAAGATAAAAACCAAAACTAGCCATAATAAACGTCGAACACCGTTCAATCAAACGAGTCGACGGTTTGCAGAATTTAAAACTCAACGTCTTCCCGGTAAGTCGTTTACTGATCATAAGCTAAAAGTAAAAAAACATTATAATAATAAATAGCTATACAGTGTATTTTATGAGTTCCTATTAAAAGAGGACGTGATACCCACAATTTATGAAGGAGTTAGGTATAGGCAATTTTTTGAAAAACCTTCACTTAGCTCAAACTACAATGCATAATTATTAGTTTTGTAATTAGAACTCTTTTTTCGGTAGTTAATAAGCAATTTTCTACAGTACTATAAGTACTATAGGTAAGTTATAATTTTGAGTCATTGCAGTTAGTTTAAGGATTATAAATACTGTTAGTACTATGTAATATAGTTGTATTAGTAGATATAATACATAATATATTATAGGCAGCTACGTTTATTTTTATTTCAACAAATCTAAAAAAATCAATCTAGGTATTTTTGAAATCACCGACTTTAAGTTTTAAAGTTTTTAGTGTTGTCTCCCCCCCCCCCTGATCTCCGGCAATGAGTGAGCCTCTAACCTTTCTCCAATTATTTGTGTGTAAATTGTAACCGAACGCAAAGCTGAGAAAGTACTTCTGCTTGCAATACACTACAGTAAAAGGATTTAGACGAAAACGCAAGAGTATATAGGTACGGTCTACCTATAATAATAGGTTAAAAAATTCACCCCGGCTTGAGGGTGGATTTGGCGCGATACGCTTTTTTCAATCAGAGCATATTATTCTTGTTTTTTAGTATATATACATATATGGCGCTTGGCAATAAATATGTCATAAGCATTTCGCCGGGTACCACCTATAACCCCCGTGGAATGGAATAATAAAAGGACGCCGAAGGAGGGAGGGTAGGTAAGGGGTGGGTGTGTATATACGGCCGGAGTTTTTAGAGCAGCCATTGTTGTGCTGTGCAAATCGGTATAATAATAATAATAATAATAATAATATGTGGAAAACACACGAGGAAAAGGGCAACGCGTGGCCGCCGGCAAGAGGTTAAATTACTATACGTACAAGACGGAGGGTACCCTCGCCGCGGCCATCTTTGGACAACAATAGACATATTTTTCGAGATCTTCTTCTTCTTATACAAATCGAGAGCACCCAGGAATTTATCACACGCCGCCGTCGCGCACCTCGGCGCGTTTTTCCATAATATATATATATATATGCTATAAATAATAATACCGCGTTGGTTTTTCACATACTTTACGTGCGATGATTTTTTTTTTTTTTGAATTTATTTTCAAAAAAAAAAACACCAACACCTGATTATTATCCGTTATATTGCTCCCTCGAGTAGTGCTGCTTAAACGCCGTCGCCAAAGCCCTCGCCTGTAGACGTTTTTTTTTTTTTTTTTGTCCGTATATATTATATTTTATATGCACTTGCATCCCATGGCACTCCACGGCATCAGCTCAAGTCCTATACAACCGCACGTGACCGTTTTTAATTCCGACTGCATCGCGCCCACAGACCTTTTACCCGCCTCGACGAGCAAGTAAGTAGTACCAGCAAAGAGGGCGGCTTTTGGTGTTCCGTTTAGTGTACATCGGCCAAGTGGTCTTCGCGTTCACCGTCCTCCTTTAGGTCTCTTTTAATTGTTTTCGTCTGCCAGTTGTAACAAAAACCGTGCGTACCCGGACACACGCGAATTTCATATTAACAATAGTGTTAATATGAAATTAACTAGTACATAGTACAGCCGTTATAACTGACACGTGGCATATCATCGTGGCCGGGCGTCGTGACGCAACATCTTTGACCATAACATATATCTGTTATAATATTAAAGATTACACCAAAGATTATACCGGCTAGGTTAAAATTAGTCGTGTTCTTTTGTATTTAACACACCAAATGCATTGAGTTTTTATACGGACTATAGTCACAACCGTCGGAGAAAGGTCACAAATGAATCACTGCGCGCGGTTCCCTGTGTTGTGTGTCACGGGGGTGACTTTGACGGGGTACTTTTTGGAGTATTTTCGGTATAATATGTAGGGGGGTGGGGGGTGGGTTAACCATTAATAGTCGAGCCGATGGAGCCTGAAAGAATCGGCGGACCCTCGTTCTACAAGAGTGTACTCGGGGGTAGAGTGAAAAGGAAACGGTTATGAATCAAAGACCATTGCACAACACCGGGACAATGTCTGAGAGCTGTGTGTATGTATGCCAAGAAGAGTCCGGAGGGTGATCTGCGAGGCACGAGAAAAATATGAAAAGATATATAAATAACCATTAAGCATAAAGAACGTTCGAGAAAAGTTACACGTTGAAATGACGGTCTTTCGGAAACTTTCAAAACTAATCAATTTAATGGAACATCTTTGAGTATGTACGGGGCGACTCCTTTCAGTTCACTTGTTTCTTGTCGTTACAAGAATCATGTTTAAGACGCGCGTGTAAAATGCACAATGTTTTTAATTAGGGGACGATTGTGGAGGGGTGAAACAGCTGTATACCGCAAAATTATAGACCGTGCATTCAATACTCTGTCAGTGTATTTTAGTGCAATGAAAACGGAAATCGTCGGATTTCCTTTTGCGGTATATTTTTTTAGAGAATATTATTTATATGGCAGCGCGGTACTCGCGGTTAAACCTCGCGAGTTTAGCTTTGCCCAAAAGCCAAAAAGAGGATAGAGGAGGGGTTAGGAAATCTTTTCTTTAAAACCGCTCGAGAAATGATTGCTTTTGCAATATTGTGTTCAACGTGCGTTTGAAAATATATTATATACATTGGTAGGTAGTAAATAATGATACACGCCCAGATATCCGTCGGATAATGTACGTGCAAAAACACTTGTGGCAAAAAAACCATATTTTAAAGGCTTACCTTTAAGTGATATACAATATTATTTATTTACCTGTAAATATTACTATTAATGTCATATGTGTACAACTCTCATCGCATTTGCTAAACGTACAAATTGTATAGATTGTAAATATATTTCTCTGATAATATATTACATAAAAAAAAAAAAAATACTATTACTAAATAAATAAATACAAATAAGAAGTGCCATCAATGTTTCTCTTAGCTTAGCCGATATACTCTTATTGTGCTACAGATGTAAAGATTGTGTATTTAAAATAAAAGAAAAAAAAAACGTTTCTACCACGAGATGAGTAATTCTTCTTGACAAATAGCTACATTTGATGTTAGTGTATTTTTTTTGACAGCTCTGTCACGGACTTTTGAACTACATAAAATTATATTTAACTCAAAGCTCGAGTTTAACACTTTGCTTAGAAACGACAAATAATATCTTACACCGACTAAAACACATTCTAATGCTACTTTGTCCGATCTGTTTTCTTATATATCGAATTCCCAGCCCAGAAGTTTGTTTCCACATATTATTATTACAATATTATAGAAGAACAACTCGAGGATCGCTGTTAATGTTTCCAAACAATTAAGCGGAAACGTTGTGTGTGTGTTTTAATTGATGATTTATATTTACTTGGCCCAAGTCGAGTGCAGGAGACGGCCGGGATATTTTTCTCTCCCGGATTCGGGCAACGGTCCAAAACAAGGTAGAAAATGGGAACGGGGATGGGGGTGGGGTATATTTATCGCAGATTTTCTGGTACCCTCCCCCTGCCCTGTTGTCTTGGCCGACCGACCCACCGTCTGTCTGTCTTCAGTAAAACTATATAGAGCTGTAACATCCATAATATATAGTGCTTTGCAATAAAAATCTGAATCTGTGTTCGAAATTTGTTAATTTCATTTGACATTATAACATATATTATTACATATATAATATTTGCCAGTTTAATACTTTTTTATAATATGTGTGGGGAAGTTGTTATAAGTGATAACAGCATCTTTGTTTTAAATTTGTTAAGAAATTGTTATTATTTAATGTCGTTTGACTTTATTATATTATAATATTTGTAAATGCAAATGTTTTAAAAAGATAATAATAAATAGTAAATACAGTGTTTATGGAATACTTATGATAAATAAATTCGATATTCATGTGATATTAGATTAATTATTTTTCTTTTATGACATTTTTTTTTTTTACAGAGCTTACCGTGAATTGTATTAGTTAATATTTTTAATTAAGGGGCTTTTTAGATTTGTATTTATAAAAAAGGTATTCATTTTTTACCTACATCTATTTTCATCTAGTGAAAATTGTATTTATCTTTGTGAATAAATAGATTCTAGATCAATAACATTCATTATAATAACATTTTAGATTAAATCTATTTAATCTAAACTAGAATCTAGATCAATTTTTAGCTAACAATCTTGCTCGGATTTATTTTTTAGATACATTTTTTCCCAACACTGCTTTTCGCCGTGTCTTCGTAGTGTAAATTACTTATATCGACTCCACCCCCCCCCCCCCCCAATTTTCAACGACACTACTCGAACACGGTGTTAACATAGTACACACCTAGGCCCATTTGTATCATTGTGAATTTTGACATATTGACTTTGGGCACGCCAACGAACCTGACCGGAAACGAACGCGAGCTCGGCAAAGCTATTTTATCACTTCCGCGGTGTCGGAAAGCCCATTGGCTTTCTTCGCGTTAACTTTTCCAATAAACCGGACCCCCCCCCCTCCCTTCAAAAAAAAAAACCCCAATACAAAACGACAAGAAACTGATTTATATCAAATAATTAACTTTCACTACTTTTTGATTCTCGGTTTTTACCACCTCCTAGATCCGGCAAAGTCGCTTTAATGTGTACAGTGATAAAAGTCCATAGAACAAACGCAATAAGTGCCTATATACATGAAAGTTTGATAGCCGTTAACGTGGCGTGTGTGGGTTAAAGTTTTGTTTTTGGTTTTTTTTTTTTCATTAATTAAATACCGATTTTTCAACCGACCCTCGATCGACTTGGAACGATTCTTTCTTCCTTGGCGGGGCCAACTTTACCATCTATAAATCACACAAAAAAAAAAACAGAGACAGCGGCCGTTTGTTTGATGGTTTTTTTCCTTTAAATTAGTTGTTAACCCTTCTTTCGGTATTATAACTAGTGTTTTGTCAAAAGGGGGATGTATTCGTCAATAGTAAAAATGGAATTAACGAAAATAAAATAAAGCGGTAATTATCCAAAACAAACAATATCTGTAATTATAAGCGAGCAAGCCCCCGGCGGGGTTGAAGTATAATAGTGTTTAGTCAGTCTTTGATATATTTCACACGAGTAAACACGAGGAAACGTTTACTTTCATATCGTGACGTTTTTGTCTCGAGACGATTCACATTTAAATGTTTATTTTTTTATATTGGTATTGACTCATTGACAGTATTCGATAGACCTTATGACATCAAACGAGCGTTAGTTTATTCATAACGGTACCTTAAAAAACCCCAAAATAAGTTTTAACCGTGTTTTACATCTCCACACAAAAATCTACAAATTAATATCTTAATTATTTATTACCACCCAAAAACTGTTTGACATATTTTAATGTAATATTGTCTTATTGTAATTTGTCCACGCTTTATAATATTTTCCAAATTTTTAAGACACGATATACCACCTTGTATTATATTGTAATACAAAAATGGGATTTCGTTTGTTTCTTTTAAAATATATAATTTATGTTCTAACGAAAAATCCGTAGGATCGAAATTTAATGTCTTGGAATTAAATTAAATGCGATTGAAACCGATTTTTTGTTTTTTGTAAGAATAAAAAAAGCATACTTGAATTTTGGATTTAGCGATAAGCAATTTCCTACTCGACACGGTCGAATAACTTTCAATGCATATTAGGTGTCGGTTTATATTAAATATTTTTTATTCCGGAATCACAATGTAAAATATGTGCTGATTAAAAGACCGTTTTTACACAAAAGTATTAAATTGAAAATTACAAAAAATAACAATGCATTGAAAGTATTTCGATATCGAAGAATAACTTTTTTTCTTGTAGTACAATCCATACAAATATCAGATTTCAATGTTTTTAAGAAGAATATTACAAAAACATTTAAACCATGCTTTTATAAAACTAAAATATAAAAGACAATCGTATATATTTTTTTTTGGAATTAAGTTTTTTCAAAAATAATATAATAGATATTATTATTGTGGTAAGCCAAATTGTTTTTTTCCACGTTTTTAATAATCTCAATAATATTATTACCTAACCGGAAATGGATTAAATGTATTTTATTAATGCTGTAACAATTGTAAACTTATTATAAAATGTATTATTTGTAATAAAAACAATAGACGAATATGCAAACTTAAAATGCACTAATACATTTTTTTTTTAATGTTATTTTTAAGGTATTTATATAAAGTTCTAAATGTTTACCGAGTAATCTTATTTAAAAGTTATAATGCATATTATATATATATTTAAAAAAAATAATATCTAAAGTTTATAACACAATTATGTGTATACATTTTTGTTGCAATGTAAGTCAGTTAAGATTGAAATATTATTTCTTATTAATGGCGTTATAAGGCGAAGAATTCTGTGATACTGTAAAAATGTTTTGTTTCGATAAACGTCGAGTACGACACAGGCGAGAAAGTTAAACGCGATGGATGAGATGATGGATCGACGTTTCGTTCAGGCCTCACTCGACTTTAATGATTTTCATTGAACTTTTAACACAAACTTCTGTTGGCAAAGATGTTTTTCTCATTACAAGTTCACTGCGAGACGTGCACCTACCTACTGTTCGGTGCTCTCTATTGTTGTGTTTGTGTATCATATATATATATATATATACACTAAACAGGAATGTTTTGAGTGAATATTTCTTCGAGTTTTCTTCGGTCATATTTGTGTCAGCCAACTCGTACCGGTGTGCGGACCAGGTGCAAATCAGAGTTGTATACACAGATGACGTTTCCGGACCATTCCAGTGGTATTAGAGGGGAGGTTAAAAGCGTGGCAGTGTGCCAGACCGAATGCTCTCCAACCGAAGGCAATAAATATCTGCAGAAAACAATGGCCGTTGATAGATTCACTGCGCAGTGCTGCGGCCAAAAGCAAAGTCACCGTTGGGCAACACCGACCGTGTATTGTGTGTACAATCGCATGAGTTGTGTTGTGTGCGTGCTCCGGATAAACTGTTTTATGAGTGTGTGTATGCGAGCCGAGGGGCCAGTGTAAAATAGTGTCGTCCCCGACCTTCCCTGGGGACTAAAAAAAAAAAAAACCAAAAGAATCCCCTCAAGATTACAATTTCTAATTGGCCACCGTATTAATGCGGGATATAATAAATTTTAAACGATTATAAAACGTCCAGGGCGGCCATGTACAGCCGTGCATTAACCCGGACCCTGCGGGTGCGTGTACGGGGAACACCGTAAAGGGTGTTTGCGCCGGTTAACCACGGTGACGGTGCCCAAGACACTCGAGTGGCAATTTAAAAAAGTACCTACAAAGTAACAGCGACGGCTATATGAATGGGTTCGATTTCGAGCTAAGTCAGTCGTTTTGTCGACAAAAAAAATACAACCAGTTATTTTCTTCGCCCCACGGAAATGCATTGAGTCATGGATATGTTATCTCTTATCACTTACCTCTAATCGTTTGTCTTTTATCGCTCATCTCTTGTCTGTGATCTCTAAAATCTTACCGCTCATCTCTAATCCCTAAAAGCTTAGCACTTATCTGTTATCGCTTATTTATTATCACTTATCAATTAGCTCTTATCAATTATAATTTATCTCTTATCACATATTTTGACGTTTACCCACAGATATATATAATAAACTAGATTGCTAAATAGCGATAAGAATTGAAGCCGACGGTCCGCCATTCTGGTAGGATTTATGTGTATTATCAATAGTATACATATATATATCTGTGATTGTTATAAACATATATTATTCTCACGTGATAAGGTTCTAATTCCCACCGAGATGGCGGAATGTGGCTGCTTCAATCTTCTCTATTGGTGGCATGTACATGTTAGTAATCTACTTTATTATATATGTATATCTGTGCTTAGCACTTATCTGTTATCGCTTATTCATTATCACTTATTATCAATTAGCTCTTATCAATTATTTATTATCTCTCACACATGTTTTGTCGTTTATCTCTTATCATTTCTCGTTCATCTCTTATCACTTATCTCTTATCCCAAATATTTTAGCTCTAACTGAAAGTGAAAGTGTAAGTGTAAAATAAATATTAATTTTTTCAAATCGGATTAACACTTGCATCGCTGTGTGTTGTGAAGAAATGTTGGCGAGAACTGACCCAGTCATTATTTCAAAAGTTACACATAATAATTTGACCGGTAAAATGGGTCAGAATTTCAAAATGTTAGACGCTTAACCCTTTTTACCCAAACTACAATCGTGCTCGATTCAAATCTATTTTTTTCTCTCTCTCTGTAAATCGTTTATCCAATGCGTTTTCTGTCAAATCCAGCGCATGTCGTCGGTATAATTTGGCAGTTTAGCCGACCTTCCTTAGCTGTTGTACCGTTGTTATTGAGTACCATATAAAACCTTTCTACGGTTCAAACTTATATCGAAGTGATTTGTGTCTACTATATAAAAGAGTCTATCAATTGAGATTTGGGCCGGTAAGCTTCGAGATATTTAAATTAATATTAACATATTATTATCATTATTACAACGGTCAAGTCGGGTACTTGGAACAAAATGGGGCAAATATAAACAAGCATTTTTTTTTTAGAAGGATCCAATAATGTATGGATTTTATGTTAGCTATATGTATAACGCGTTATAAGATAGATTAGTTAAGATTGAAAATTGCCAATTAATTTACCGGCCTCTCCGTATAAATCTTGTTCCAATATTGGCAATTCCTTTGTACGCGATGTGACTCTGACGTTAAATTCCAATCATGTTTCATAGAAGTTAAGTGTCGAAAACGACCGGTATCGTTAATTCTATAATATTGAGAAATTCCCAATTACGGTTGTGTGTGTGTATAGCATACATACACAATATTATTGGCATATCCGAGCTGTTTATTAATTGAAAATTTAATCGAGCCCGGCTCAGCGTTATTGTAAATTTCCAAGACACGACTGGAGCCGTCCGAGACGCTAAATAGCCGGCAATGATAATAACAATAATCGTCTGATAAATTGAATAACTTAACGTGCCAATAACGCGGTTGTATGTCTAAAATAATTACAATTGAGTGGGCACCGGTCGGTCGTGCCCGTCCAATTATTAGACGGCCGTAGGAGTCGTGTAATGTCGTTAAGACGGTAATATATTATTGAAATCTGGCGGCGAAGCCAAGTAAAAAAAGTCCCAATAAACGTCGGTCCACACACTGGACAGATGATGTAAGTGAAAATTAAAATTATAATAATCTACACCGGCTACATATGTATACAGCGGTTGTACTCGTGTCAAGAGACGAGCAATATTTACGGTCGTCTGTGATTTTATTTTTTTCCTTTGCTAATTTTAACAATTATTATTTTCATTACCTTGTGGTAATCGCATCATCATTGTCATAACAATATTATGCCACAGCTTAAATCCACCATAGAATAATGACTCGAATTGCTCTGGTGGCCATATTATGCGCAATGGACTTATATTAACTTAAAATGGTAGGTGCAAAGGAAAAATATTGACAGAGCAAAAATAGAGCAAGAGAATTACCAATCTTACGTTTTTGGCTAAGTATATTATGTCTTTATAATGTTCCAACACTTGTGGTAAAAAGCGCGCTGTACATATTTTAATAGTTGTGCCGATGAGAATAATAATTAAGGTGTTTAGTTTTGTTCTTGGCGTTTTTTTTTCTCAATTTTTACAATGTAAAAAGCACGTTGTCATAATAATTATATTAATAGTATAATTTTTGAACCTGTCAATCCGTTAACAGCTGTAATAATAAATAAATACTACATATTTTTCAGGACCAGCCGATTATGTGCTGAAGCAGTCTACTTATTGCGCTACAAATCGCCTAAACTTCGGTACTTATTCCGAAAGACAACCAAAATCGATCGCACACGGACGACAGACTTACGAGGTAAGTTTATTTAACTTAAAGTAAGTACGGTAGGGGATTAGGCCATATTTGGTTGGATATACGACAGACGGTATTGCGTTGGCGGTTCAATTAGTTAATCAGTTTAGTTAGTTTCAATCAGATAAACGGATCAGGTGGTACAAGGGACAGGCGGAGGTCATCGTTGTGTACCTTTTGTGTGTAAGAAAAGTAAAAAGTAGTTATTATTACTTTAACACCGAGCTGGTTTCTTTTAATGCCGTTCAAACGGGTGGAAATGTATATTTTGTAATTTCAACATTTTCTATTAAAACGCACGGAGCATAATATTATCTCACCTAGAACGTTTCAAAATAATTACAAAAAGTTATAAACATAAAGATGAGATTTGATTATGCGAAAACCCACGCGCATACAATTTTAGATGTACACAATATTATTTTTCAACTCCAAAAGAACGATTCGATTAAAAACAAACTTTTGTTCGTTCTTCGGTGGATTTTAATTTTTTTAATTAACCTTTTTAAGTGACACCGCGCCCTTCTTAACTTTAATTCAACCGGATGTACCGAGAAAAAAAACTTTTTTATTCGACTTATACAGCACAGCATCGTCGTCACTTTTCAAACTTTCGAACCGACTGTTGTATATTAAGTGTAATTAAATTTAAATTAAATTATGTTTACCGAATATTTGCCGAGACGTAAATTGCCGTAAGGGGGGAAGCGTTCAATTATTATTATCATTTGCCGTGGACGATTATTGAAGTATTGTTTATTAATTCCAAATTGTAAGACAACGCGACGCTGTTGCGGATCGTTTCCTATTAAAAGACGTTTATAATAATTTCAAGTAAATCAATTTGTATATACGAAACAAGTTAATATTAATCTGAAAACAATGTTCGGATAAATGAGCTTTTCTTATGCCTGTCCAAGTAGGTATAAAACTAATTTGATGGGTTAATCGATTAAATCAATTAACTCCGACATTGTAATCTATATCTCAGACGTCTGTTCACCGAACTACTTGCATAACTGATGGACTTTATCTCGGAGTAAAAACGATTATGCGCACTCCTCGATACACCTACCACCTACTTTACTATTGATAACGGTCCGTCTTAAAGCACATTAACCAGCTAAATTGTACATTATGCACCACTGTCGTCAATGTCGTTCAGGAAAGTGTGGAAAATTCTAAACAGCAAAATATTGATGTAAAATATTGGTTCGTTAAAACGCAATGGACCAATCGAGGGCCACTAAATTATGTTCAACGAACCACTACTAAACGTCTATTGATTCTTAAAACCTTTAATGAACGTTTATGACCTAATCGGATGGACTCGATAGGAACCGGGGGGTCGCATCAATATTTTTCCATTACCCGCGTTTCTGCCGACAACAGCCTTAGCCCATGTATTATTATAATGGATAGGCCCGACCCGTATCGACATAAGACCTTTGCAACAAAAAGAAAACGGATGACGGATGTTGGAGACAACGGTTGCATTTTCCAAGTTAAAAACGGCAGCGTCGCTGCTGTTGAAGAAACTCATTTAGCACGGCTAACGATAAAAATAATAACGATCAAATATATATATACATGGGGGAGTACACGGTATATATTATGTTAGTTCACGTCTATTGTCGACTAGATTGTCTAGTCTGCTGGTGACAAGCGAAAGAATTGGTTTTTTCCTGGTTTTTTTTTATTTAAACTCGCTGACATGTTATGTACAAGCAAACGTTCTCGACTTGATGATGATGTATTTTGTTTTTCAGGGTATATAAGCTATTAGCGCGAGAAAACTTTACTCGTTTTCTCTCCCGCGGTGGCACAGACGAGAGAAAAACAAAAGAAAAATTCATATATATATTATATTTATTATTATTGTTGTCATTGCCAGCACGCGAACCACACTGTTTAAACGTGTCTCTTTTGTTTTTCTCGTTACATCCGACCGTTTAAATCCTACCGACTGCGCCACGTTATGTTATTAGACGTGCGAGGTAGTATAGAACGAGACAAACACCAGATCGGTTGAAGAAAATGTCGTCTCCGCCAAATAGGGTATGTTAATGACAAAATGTAGATGATGTAAAATGAGCGGGAAAAACGCAGCCGCGCTTTACGACCGTCGTAAAACTCTCCAAGAAGAAAAAGGAAGTGCCAGCACCAGTTCATATATGTATTATACTGCTGTCGACCCATAACAGTATATACCTCCCCACGCTAATGACGTCCCCTCCGTTATGTTCGGGGGGGGGGGGGGGGGGTGGATTTGTAAATCATCAAAGTCGTCGAACGACAATAAAAAGGCTCGGCCGGGAAATCGGAAGTGCAAATATAATAATATATAAGGCGACGAGTGCAAGACTCTACTCTGTACAATATAAGTGCGCCACACGCACTACATCTTCCACGTGTCGACTGTGTGACTTTGAATCAATAGTAGTAGACACAATATTCGATTATAATATACAAGTGACTGTTGTGAAGTGTCGTCACCGCGCAGTATTCTGTTTGGAACGGTATTATTTTTTAACGCGAATATGTCTTATGGTTGGAGGGTCTGTCGAACATTTTCGTGACGCTTTTCCGACACAAATTGCAGGGAACAAAAAGGAATGGTAACGGGAAGCCAGAGGGAAAGGGATAGGAGGAAAACTATACAGACAAATTCAGATCTTCAGGGTTATTTTGCGTGCTGGGTGTGATGTTGTGTACAGTACGCCGCTGCCTGTAGACTATAGCGATCGTCTCCACTATTGTTTCCTTATTGTCGCCTTCTTGTTTGTCACTGTCACAGGCACCTCCACGGACTCTCCTCGGCACAGCAACCACAGGACCACTGGATCTAGCTGGACCTAACCAAAGGTTTATGACCTCTGGTGTTTGTAATTTCGGTGCAGCATCCGTTGATACTACAGATCCTTAGATACACAGACTAGAATAGCCCTAAAGATGGAAGATGAAACGTTGGCAAAGCCAATTTGTTTCATAGAATTTTGTGGTTTTTCTGTGGTATTTGTTTGTTGATATCCTTGAAAATAATTGTATCTTACAATTCTGAACGCGGTACTTGACAATCAGTCAAACGTTTTTACAAATCAACAAACGGCGGTTGTCTATGGGATTTTATACACTGTGAAAATCGTTTCGCCAAGAGACACGTCGAGTGTGTGTTTTCGTTTGGTAAACACTAGAGTTTGTTGAATACTGTTTTACGGTTAATTTCACGCCAGACAAATCGTTCTTCCCGAAAAATCTGACACTCCCGTTTGCTCACGGATAGAGTATTGTGAATACCGTCAAAGGTTTTTTAACATATTTTTGAGAATAAATAGAAAAGAAACTGTAAAACTAACGACAAACACGGAAAATGGAGACGACGCTGTTGTTGGTATACGGCGTTTAATTAATGAACAGTGGAGCCTTGAACCACGGGAAAAAAAAAGGAATTATCTGAGCTCTGGCATCACTGGCTAAATCTCGCAATATGTCTGGCCGTTTTTTTGATCCCCTTCTGTTTGTTCTGTGATGATACTATGAACATTGGATGAAAAACTGATTTAACAAATTGTCCAACAGTGATTGTGGTATCTCCCAATTACACTTTTATGAAAAGTGCAAAAAATTCCAAAAACACGGCTTACTGGGCGATTAAGAGTAAAAAAACCTTGTTATAAAAGTTTTACTTTTTCTATGTTTTGTTGTATACCAATTTCAGATTAAAGCGTTGGTTTGTAGATGGAACAATATGACATAAAGAAAGGGCATGTTTTTTATTATTAATATTCAAATGTATGTATCTTAAAATTAATATGTAATTTTTAAAAACTAATTCCAACAAAACATAATTGAAGTTCTCATCTTTCAAACAATTTTATATTTTTTATCCTTGCACGCGTTGTAGACTTTTTACCATTGGAAATACAAAAGTACTATTATTTGGTGTATGACGTCCATTCAAGATGGACATCGACTAAAATGATAAGTATAGGTACCGTGACAATAAAAAAATTAAGTTTTTCAGCCGAGTCTGCAACCACGAAAGAGCATTTTCATGTCTTGTTAGCCAGAAACTTGACGTTTTAATATACTAGCATCCTTAGATACTAGCTTGTTAATATACTGTATCATTATTTATAATTCCACCAATACTCTAAATTTATTTGGTATTTCAACTAATATTGTGGTTTTTAATATCTGACTTAAAACAATTCATAGAGAATTTGGGCCCTTAAACTATTTTAAATTTATCATTTAGTTCTAATTTGAACGTTGAACGTACAACATATCTCTTATCAGATAACAGCGTAACTTTTTTTTGGCAACACTTTTTTCGGTTATGTGCCCGAGCTAATTCCCACCCCCAACCCCATTCCCATCCCAAACCCCATTCTCACCCCACCCCTATCTCTTACCTCCTATCTCTCACCTCTATCTCCCTCCGTGTGGTAATTTTTCGTTACGCTTTTTTGGTAACGCTTTTTCGGGTTTTGTGCCAGAGCTAAGACATGAAAATGTCAACAAAAAAAAAAATTAAGATTTCAATTAAATAACAATATATTTCCAACATTATTATTACAATAATTTCGGTCGCATATACGGTCTGAAATACATTATGAACGACCTTAAGGCTTGAAGCAGAAGAACCGCGTTTTTTTCCTTTGATTGCCTCCTTCGTACGGTATTATATGAGTGGCGTTCGAGTCCGGATCGTATTTAAAGCCGGAAATAGTGTCGTACGATCGGTTAAACTTTTCGGCAATATCTTTTAGTTTTTCTTTTATTGTATTCAAAGGGCGAGTGTCTTTATCGCAAGTGCTGCTGGTGGCACTCGGGTCGTCGGTGCCCCTGCTGTCAGCAGGTTCGGCTACGTTCGTCGTACCGGCGGGCAAAGGTTTTAAATTGCCCTCATCGTCTCGGGTCCAGCGGGCAGGGGGCCGGCAAAATTTGTTGTAGAAATTGTTTGACACATTCGACATGACGATGGCGTGCTGTTCGATTTG